TATAAGGGCGATGTCATCAGCAAAGCGAAAATGGTGTAACTGCCGACCGTCGATTTTCACTCCCATATTATCCCATTCCAATGTTCGCACGACGTTCTCGAGGGTGGCGGCAAATAATTTTGGCGAGATGGTGTCGCCTTGCCCAACTCCTCTTTTGACGTCACTGTTAATATCGTTGTAGAATGGTGATATCTTGGTTGTGAAATTTTGTACAGCTCACGAAGAATCTTTATGTACTGAATAGGGACTTCTTGGCTATCAAGGGCTTCCAAGACTGCTTCTATCTCAACTGAATCAAAGGCCTTCTGTAAATCGATGAAAGTGAGACAAAGCGGTCTTTTGTACTTTCGCGATACTTCAGTGAGCCGTGTTACCGTGTGGTTCTGCTCCATCGTACTAAATCCTTTTCGAAACCCTGCTTCCTCACATGGCTGTCCTTCGTCTAGTGTTCTGTCAATCCTGTTTAGGATACCTCGAGTGAAAAGTTTGTAAACGACGGACAGCAAGCAGACTGGGCGATAGTTGCGGATATCATGAAGGTCATTGTTCCTGAACAATAGTACGGTTTTGCTGGTCTTCCACTGAGCAGATACCTTGCATTCGGACAGGTAACGTGTGAAGAGCCGAGGCAGTGTTCTCACGAGGACTAGCAAAACGTTTTTCAAATGTTCAGATCTTTTTCTATCCGGATCTGGTGCTGTTTGATTTTTCACTGAAGAAACAGCGTTTCGGATTTCAGAAGAAAGAACAGGTGGTACGACATATCCATCCTCCTTTATTTCATATGAGGGAAGGAGGACGGGGATTTTGAAAAGATCTGAGTAGTAATCGTGAAGGATTTTCTCCATTATCTTTATGGAAACTGTAACTGTTCTACCTGGGTGTCGGAGTGCAATTATCTTGGTGTTTTAATTGGCGAAGCTTCAGTAGGCTTTGAGAACGTTTTTTTCCAACCCCTTCATTTTCGACTATAACTGCTGCTGTTTTCTCTCTAAGATCTTCTTTTATCGCCTGTCTGCATTGTTTTGCAAGCTCGGACGTTAGTTCGCGGTTGCCTGCAGCTCGTGCGATTCCATGCTGGCGTATCAGCTCGAGTGTTTCTGGAGACAGACGTCTCTTGGTGACTTTCGACCTCTGTGCTTTCATAGCGCTAACGTGAAGATGTTGAATGAGTCGATCGTATTCTTCGTCGATGTTATCGACAACGGCAGCTTCCCAACAGCCGACTAATGAATTGAATAAGTCTCAGTTTGGGGTGTTTCTGGGGCTTCGGTTTTTGAATTTAGCGGCTTTTCCTCCTTTCCGCGAGAAATAGAATCTGGCACAAAGGAGGCGATGGTCTGATCCCGAGTAGAATTTTGGGACAGCTGTGAAATCAGTTAGGCAAAACCTTCGATTTACTACGATGTGGTCTATTTCCTTATGGTACTCTCCACCAGGAGACTTGATCATCGTGATAAACTCAGAAAGCCGCTCACACTTTTCGTTCCATTCTAATCCGTGGGTCCCAATGTTATGCTGTTCAGACATTCTTCTTGGTAAAATCTTGGCGTTGAAATCTCCAATGAGGACCTTGATGAATGTATGGTCTTCTCTGTAGGAGCTCTCCAAGTCCGTAAGAACTCTTCGACTTCGTCTTTATCATAGCTTAATGTCCTGTGGAAGTCGAAGATTGTCAAAGCCATACACATCTCTTCAACCGTAACGGACCGATTGGGGTTGCTAGTTGTTCCGTGCATTGATGTTCATAACCAAACCCGTGTTGACGAAAATGCCGACTCCTCCATTGTCGTATGTTCCGAAGAACAGTTCTTCTCCGGTGTCATAAACGACGTTGAGTGGGTGGCGTCTTCTCGTCTCGGCCAGGCCGATGACGTCGTACCTTATCCTTTTTGCATGATCAAGTCTTCTATCGAGGACTCAGATGAAAGTGTAGGTGCATTGGAGGTAGAGATCGTTGCCTTAGTTCTTCGTGATTTAGGTACCTTAGAATGCCTCTGAGATTTTAGCAGACTGCCCACTCGTCCTAGCCAACGCTACCAAATCTGGGTTCTTTCGAGTTCGGAGGGGTGAGGCTCGTTTATTTCAATGTTGAGCGTTCGATACCCAAACAGCTTGCTGTGTTCAGAACGCGTGGCTAGGTATACTCACGGGTAGCTTGCCAGTCTCTCCCAGAGTGGACATGGAGCTTATTTGTTGGAGGCGACTCCTAACTGCCTCCCGTTTACTTCCCTGTCACTTGATTGCGGACATTTGGCCGAATTGACTCCTAGAATACAATCCGCACAAACTTGAACGCACCCACCCACGAGTGCATGAATATGCCTCATAAAATCAGAAAGCATATGCCAAATCGGCGCAACAGAAACAAGGAGCCCGTCTCCTGGATCCACCTGTGTCTCAAGGAAGCAAGGGTCGCTTTTGGTTCTCGATTAACTCCTTATCCACCACCTGGTTACGCGCCACGTAGCCTCGCGACTAACCGGCGTAAGATCCCTCGTACGAGAGAGATCCGCGAATATATATATATATATACATATGTATACTATATATATGTATATATATATATCATTGTGTCACATCTTCATGGATGATTCATAAAATCACTTGGTCAGCTTATGTCGAGCATTTATACGCAGTTCCTAAACGAAGGAAAACAAATCAGGGTGTAAGTCATATTTTAAGGTAGCAGAACGCGGTCTTTGTTCTGTATTCTGTAGATAAGTTCTCCAGTGTAACGTTCGGGTTCAGCTATAACATTAAATGCCATTTCGGGGCATAAGACCGCTACTATCTCAATGGGTGACGGTTGCAGGATAACAGAAGTTTTAACGCCCATGCGACATGTCAGCATTGCAGCTAAAGAAGTAAAATGAAAGTAAACCTATGCATTAAACAATTGAGACGAATGATTTTATTGAACTCGATTTCGGATCTGCTCACTATTTTAGAAAAAAAATGTGTTTTTAGATTGTCGAGCAAACATCATTTGTGCTCTAATATACTATTGATGTTACTGACGTTTTAGGGTCGAGGTGTTCGATATGGCCAACTGAAGCACTCTGAATACCTGGATATTAATACTTATGAAGGACATCCATGGATTTTTAGGGAATCCAGCGTCGGAGATATATTAATAGGACAGCCGGGACAAATTTCAGTGGGTTTTCTTCTTTGTTATAGAAAACATCAAAAATTCCCTTTCACTTTGCATCCATTACTATTGCCGATAGCAGTAGATCTCTTTCTACACAAAGTGGATTTTTTATCACATTCTATGCATTCTAAAGATACCTGTCTTAACCTAATGGCACCTCTTTTTTTTGTCACTTCTTCACTAAACATTTAGTGCTTTTCTGCACTCATAACGGTTTATAAGTAAATTAGCACATCTATTTTTTTCCTTACTACATCAAATCGCAATCTTTCACCATGTCCCTTTCCATCTACTTAAACTGGAATCCACCACAAAAACCCGAAGTGGTTGTTGAGCAACATGACTGTTCGTTGAGCTCTTATCATTGCTGTCTATTAGCTTTATGACATCCATTTGATTTTCTCTTTCTGCTTTCTTTTTCTTCGACTGTGCCTTCTTTTTTCCTTCTTTTTGTTATAACAACTTTTGGAATTCCTTTGTCTCTTCGCTTAAATTGCTTTATTTTTCATTCCCAATTTCGGATTCGTTGTTTTCCTTAATTTCTTTGAATAATGGAACTATCCCTACCGACGGTTTACCGCCTCATCGTGGCTGGGTGTTCCTTGGTGTCGAACTGCGATGTACACCGTAGGATCCATCCCATGGCAGAGTCTCCCAAGCTGATTCCGGCGTTTCCATTAGGAAACCTAGCTAGAAGTAAACCAATACCAGGATCCATCATCGTCTTGGTATCAAAGTCGCATGGTGGCAAATCTCCCTTTGATCCACAAGGATGCGACTGCCTGTGGTGTTGAAGACCTGGGGCATGCTTTGACCAGGCTGACCTCAGGGTTCCAGGCAACCACAATGGCTTAACTAGGAAATCTCCGAAAAGTGGAAATTGTGCTAAGGCCCGCGCAATTAGTTAGGACGGGCCACTCAAATATCAAGTAGTAGAATCATACAGTACTTTTATGAAGTTAAGACTTAAAATTTCAAACCGCTTCCGTTTCTTTGAAACTGCCATAAATCAAGTGGTAGGTTTTATTTTCTATATTATTGCAGGTGTATTTTCCCAAACGTTCTAACAATGTCATCAATCGAGTCACCATTCTCATAACATTTCCACGTGGGTTTTTTTGGAGTTTTTGGTAGCTCTGCTAAGCGTCGCAAAGTTATCAACTTTAACCATTTGTGTGTATTCCTTCACTGGTAAGCTTACACGAGGTTGACATAAAATCTTTATTCGACCAACGTTTCAACTTTTTCGTCTTCATCAAAGCTGATGATGCGAGTCGATTGTCCGCAGTTGTTCGTATCTTCGATGTTGTGTCATCTTCTTATCGAGCCGGATCTTCCTTAGTGGAGCATCTTCCTTTTGAAATATTGTTATACCCTTTGCGACCTGATAATGGTAACGATTTCTGCAGGGTGGACCGTTCGAAAAAAAATAGTTATCACCAGATGATCCCTTCTGTCAACAGCCAGCATCCTGTAAAAAAGACCATATCACCGGATAAGTATACCTCATTCTAGAGGTGTTCCACAGGAAAATCCGGCTAGATACGAAGGCGACGTCACATAGAGGATGCGAAAAACTGCGGAACATCGCCTCGGATCACCCGTTCCGATAAAGGCGAAGACATTGGAACGTTAGCCAAATAAAGATTATATTATGTCAACTTCGTGTAAGCTTATCAAAGAAGGAATACATGTTGATTAGTCATATCAAGGTTAAAGGGAAGTCGGTTTTGAAATATTTAACCATTGGCATTCGTTGCGTTTGTATTCGAAGGAAACTATTGCTTTATTCTGTACTTGCTTGCATTGTATGCGTTTCCATTATTTTGGTTGTATTTAAGCAATGTCCCTACGTGACTGGGCAGTACGTGCTGTTGCCAATTCCGTTGAAATTACTCCATGTGCTTTATTCAATTTGCCGATTCCTGCAAATCAAATAGTACGTTTCTATATGAGAACAGTCTCATTTGTAGAAGTGTGCATTCATGGTAGTAGTTAGGAGACGGTTAGTAAGAAAAAAATCCCACTTTGCTTCGACTACTTTTCTAAGTAATTTACTTTTTTGTCTTTAGAAGACTGTGCAGAATCTGCTAGTACATCGTCTTCAATACGTTAGCATTTATGAACCAAATCCTTTGGTGGGAAAGCTTCTTCGTGCTACAGTTCGAAGTTATATGAGTGTAGGAAGCGTTCTTCCTTATTCTTTCTTTTCCACTTAGCTCCGTGTTTTTCTTCCTGGCAGATCTTACTCGTGTTAACTGAATAGTTCTATACCTATGCCTTCTGTCAGCAACCGGCCGTGATGAACGGAACTCAACCGCAACTTGTTGACGCAACGTCTGGACGACTTGCGGGAGATCAAGAGCAGTTTGAAGAGTGATATATTCTTAGGAAAATCAGATCTCTGTCCATCTGAGAGTCGCTCGAAGTGATCCACTTTTCCTCGGTGTAAAGAAGATTATTACACATTTTCGTTGGTGCCCATATTTGAAGTGACTTATAGAGCTTGTTTGTTGTTGTTTTTTTTAATTAGGGCTACTGCTTGTTCAGAATTCCATTCATTATTGACATCTTTGACAAGTTCCTTCACGTCATCACGAACATTTTGACGAAGGTGCTTTTGTTCATTTTTTATTATGTAAATTTTCAATCGCTCTGCTATTCGCCATGTCTCTTTGAAGTGTTCGCTTAACAGACACGAATATACACGTGGATCTAAACCCTACCAATGCAAAAATTCCTCAAATGTCCTTTTATTGAGTTATTGTGCCGGAATTGTGATAACGTCGCGTCGTACAATGTTTAATAGTTAACCTGACCTCCCAAAGTCTAGGAAGAGGATAGCTGCGTTCAGCTTTTCTCGTTGTATCTGACGATGTCTATACCCTGCCTGATCACATAAACCAGTTGCAGTCAAATATGTGTAACGTCAATGGACGTTCATCCCAACTTATATCCGTTATGATTAAATGTCTTTCCTAATAAGGAGGTATCCACAAAGGCAGGGATCGCCTGTGGTAGTGATGACCTGGTGCAGACTTTGGCTACCCTGACCTCGGGAATCCAGGTAACCACAATGGCTAAACCAGCAAAACTGCGAAAAAATGGAAATTCTGATGAGGCCCGCACAACCGGTGAGGACATCCCATCCAACCATTCTAAAAAGGTGGTATTGGGTATGAGACGACTTCACTTGCATTTCTTCTCATTCGAATTTGAATGAATTAAATTGTGGAACTACAAGACAATACCATATGGTAGTACATAAAAAAAAAACCACTCGGCGTTGACCAATCACAGAGAGGTGCGCCATGCCGTTGACTTCTCTACGCATCGTTGGAGGTGAATGAATGCATATTTGGCGTTTACAATGACTCGCGGTGGCTTACCGATGTGTGGAGTCAGTGCTGCTATCTTCGCAGATATTCCTCCCAAACAAGTGACACCAATTCACCGACCCCGGAAGGATGGAGGGCTTGGTGGGCTTGGAGCGCGCGGATCCGTCCCATGTGTATTGCAGCCCACCTCCGCCCACCGCACTACACATGCCCATATTACGCTAGCACATATCGAATTCAGTTTGGTTCATTTTAAATGACAACACTAATTTTTTTGAATTTTTTAAGGCTTCCAACGACTAAATGCGAGAGTTCTCAACACGTGCCAGTTGATGTTCTAAAAGTAATAGTGCGTCACATATGACTCACCTTAGTGCAAATGATGCGGTCTGGCAACGAACAGTAGAAACTGGTATGCCCTTTCGATGAACAGACTTTAACGGCAATAGAATGAATTTTTCAACAAAATTCGGAGCCAAGGAGCAGTGTATCATCGACTTTAATACTTCCTGCCAACACAATCCCATAACAAATACATTTTGAAACCAGAGAACAATGCACTACTTTACAATGAGATAGACAACAAGAGGAACAGAACTGGAAATGGGCAGAATTATGTCCACACAGAGATAAACGCAGTGGCACATTGTTTAGGAACTGTCGAAGGTCGAGATTTGTTCCCTCAACAATGGATACTTGGAGTATGGGATACATCCTAAACGATGCAGTGTGAAAAGGAAAAGATTAATACTTACGCGACAATTCGACCTTCACGAGTACTACGACGTGGAAAGTAGCTACTTCCAAGTTTTATTTTGGGACCACTGCTGGTTTTTCGCAAACTGCTTATTTTTTAATAACTACAATACTTGATGAGTTGGAAACGTGACCTGCAATGACTCGCGGTGGTACCGAGCCATAACCTTCTAAGCAAGTCTAATACCAATTTGCAGACTCTGGAGGGATGTAGGGCTTGATGAGACTGGGGAGCGGGATCGATCCTATGTATATTGCAAGGGGCCTCTAACCACTCCCCTATAGGCATGCTCCTCTCTTATAAAAATACAATCCATCTAGTAAATAATAATAATAAAATAATAAATAAAAGTAAATAAAATAATAATAAATAAACAGTTCAATCTTTACGTTTCTATTTCCTCACGGAACGAAAATTATTGCTCAAAATGTTGTGCTCTCGAAATTGCACCATGCAAATCCATTTAAAAATACTTCCCAAATCTCCAGACTATCTCTAATGTATTATGAATGATGGTGCTTTTGTGGCACCTTTTTGCTAACTAAAACTCTGGATAACGTAAAAACTATAGAACAAACTTTGCCCCGCACCTCGAACACTATGAAAAGATCCTATGAGATGTTATTTTGATCCAAAGTTTGCGTAAAAATAAACTTTTCAAAATATCGAAAACGGCACCTGAATTTTAAAAGCTTTTAGTGCAATCGTTACAGCAACAAATGAAAACATTTCAGGAACACAGATGTATCATGATGGACGAAAGTAAAAGCGAAAACAGTCCTGTGAGCTTAAAAACATCGCAGTTTTTTGGTTGAATGGTAAAATTTGCATATTGTTCGCGACCTGTAGATTCCGATACTTTTTACTTTGGTGTGTTTGTTGAAAGCTAACGTTCTGGTTACTTGATAGTTTAAATCAACTAATATCCATTCAAACTTGCGTAAATGGTAAAAGAACACGTAAAATCGTGGCACTAGTGCTAATTTGCATTTTTGTTTCAGCATCCAAAAAAAGATTCATTACAAAACATAACCATTTAGCGGTTTACACAATATTGACAGGAAAGATATAGCTTAAGCATATCATTAAATTCCACGAATAGATCTAGTACGCTCACTAGAGCGTGGCTAAGAATAACAGACGAACCTGAAAAGCTTTGTCCTTGCAAGTCCTCTTCCGTCGTCTAGCGCACTGTGTGTCAGAACTCCTAACAACGTAGATTTTCCAGCGTCCACATTTCCCACAACAGCGACGCGAACCTTGATTTTAGGTGATGGGCAATAAACGAAAAAAATAAATATATAAATCGAAATTTTGCGCAAACATATGAACTTCAATAAAATCCTCTTCTTTCGGTGGATCTCTTACTAACCAAACCTCAGTCGAGTTACTGCCAGTGGTTCTTGTCTCGAGTTTCGTTCCTTAATAACTCCAGAATTACTTGCAATCTAAGTCTAATACGTATAGAAACAAAGGCAACTCCTATTCCGACTTCGTTGACTAAACATAAAGTTCTGATGAAAACCAGAAAGTAGCCCAGAAAGTGATCCTACGCACTGTTACGCACTATCTTTGCCCATTATTAGAACAACACATTGAATATCAAGGTCAGTGTGAAATCCCACAAAAATAACAACTGCAGCAGTTTCGGTGCCAAATATGGCGCTTTTCCGAGACTTCTTTTTAAGTAAACAAGAATTTTCTCTAAGAAACCAACGACAAAAAATGCCTAAAAGATGTTCGACATGATCATCTGGTTGTAAAATGAATGCCTCACCTATTGCTGGAATACTCGCAAGAGCTTTTACATGGTTAGCAACAGCAACATCTAAGTCCTTTGTTGGAATTCCCGATGCTTAAAAGAAACGTATTCGAATAAAAGTATAAATAAACAACATGAAAACAACAAAGCCTCAATTCTCTGGTTCATCCCTTGAAGACGACTTACCTCAATGCATATACAGCTGACAATAATTCCTATAACAAATTAGGACCAGAATTTGCTTATTGACCAGAATGTCCATTCAGGCAATTTAACCCCGACTTTTTTCTGCTATTGCTTTACTTTTTAGTAACTGAGGACATTTCCGACCGTGAAACACGAGCATTTCCAGAGGTAACGAAGCATCCTCATGGTGTTGCGGTGAACGAAACACTCGCGGCACGCATGGTATGGTGGTGAACACGTTAGCTCCCGGAAAGAGTAATAATGAGGTTCGATTATGGCTGCAGACACCTGCGTTCCGAAGCCTTGAAAATATCTCAGCATCACTGTAGTTGCATTTCACATCATATCCTGGCATGAAAAAAGAATAGGCAATAAATAAAAAGCTAACATTGTGATCAAAGTATCAAAGCAGTGAGTATCAAAAAAGTGCTTTTATCATCTCAGCTAAGTTCCACACTACTTTACAGACCTCCGTGAAATGAGAAGACTTAGTAATTCCGGCATGAGGGATCGAACCTAAGACCAACTCTTCTCAGATATATCCAGCACCAATTTTTCAGATCCCCATGGAAAGGATAAAAAAATAAAGAATAAAACTCTCAGCGTTAATCAATCTCTGAGGGATGCGCCATACATTCGCCTTCATTAAACACCGTTGGAGGTGATTGAGTTCATATTTGGCCTTTACAATGGCTCGTGGTGGCCTACCTATGTATCGAGCCAGTGCGGCTATCCTCCCAGACAAGTCTGGTACCAATTTGCCGACCCCAGAGGTATGGAAGGTTTGGTGGGCCAAGGGCATGGGGATCGATTCCACGTGTGTGTCTCAGTGGTGCTTCCAACCACTGCGCTACACGCGTCCTCACCATGGAAAGAGAGAGGGACTTAATGAAGCCGGCATGAAGGATCGAACCTAAGACCAATCTTTTGTACATTTTAGGGCACCTCTAGTCACTGCGCTAAACGTACTTCAATGAAAGAGGATTTTAGTAAACCCTACGTTTTTGAAATTAACAAGAACATACACGTCCTTTGTTGGAATTCCCGATGCTTGAAATAAACTTACTCGGGTAAAAGTATAAATAAACAGTATCTGTACACATAACACCGAAAATGAGAAAGTGTCAACTGCCTAGTTCATCTCTTAAGAGATGATTACCTCAATGCATATCTGGCTGACAATAATCCCCATAACAAATTGGGACCAAAATTTGCTTAGCAAAAAGCATGTCCGTTTGAGCAATTTCACCGACTTTTTTTTTACTACTGTTTCACTTTTTCCAAATACCAGGATCCACCACCGTCCTAGTATCAGATTAGTCGCATGGTTGGAAAACGCTCTCTGATCCACAAGGGCGGGACATCCTGTGATGGTGATGACCTGGGGTAGGCTTTGGCTGGGCTGACCTCGAGACTCCAGGGAACCACAGTGGCTAAATCAGCAAAACTCTGAAAAGACCGAGATTATGCAGGAGCCCGCACGACCAGTGAGGACGGGCCATCCAAGTATCCGAGTAACTAAATTTTGCTTCTTAGTAACTACAGACATTTGCGACAGTGTCCAGAGATTATTCTCTTCATGGTAGAGAATAGTCTCTATCTCACCTCTTCTCAACTTATCAATTTCGTATATTTGGTACGTACTTCTCTCAACACTATCCACTGTTGTCAATTTTTATTTAATGCCTACTCTTTTTTAATGGAAGGCTACTATGAGAAATATAACAAATAACTATCTACTGTTATCATATAAACTACTACAGCTCGTGTTACATGTAATTAGCGATGTTTGGAAAACAGCCGACAAAAGTCCCGCGCAATAGACCGAGAGAAGACCACAACACGAAAATACCAAGACATCAATGACATTAATGTCAATGCGCAAGGACCCGAACGTAATTTAAATAAACCTTCCAACTTCGGATGTACACTGCTGCGATCGATTTAATTGGAACAAATAATAATGGAATTGCCAGATGAAAGAATTGGACTTCTTCAAGGTCTACGAAGCTATTTAGACAAATGTATCACTTAAATTTTTTTTTCTTTGATCTTTTTCTTTCAAAGTTCTTTTCCGTAAGACCTTTAAGTCTTCATACTATTTCGAACTCCAGCTTCAAATTCCTAGGACCCAAAAGGCATAAATGTTCGTTGCAAGAGCTACGTTATCCCGTCTATCGAAGCAAACAAAAACAACATTGTAAGGAAAACGTACCCTTTCCACCTAGTTCTATGGGAACACCGAGTTCGACGACCGTTTCACCCTCACCTTCCAACAACATCTTCCGCAAGTGTATAACATATCGCTCAATCTTAAGCAGAAGAACCACTTAGAGAATATACAATAGGATATTAAGCATAAGCAAATGAGGTAGATAAAACCATGCAACACCTCTTCAGGCTTGTTGCGAACAAGAAATAGAGCGTCCAGACCTCCAGCTTTCACATCAGCTTTATCGTCATCAGAATCTAAACGTAAAGGCTATTTCCGTAGACGCCATTTTTACAGTAAGTCCTTATAATCTCTAAAGACGTTATACAACCTTAAAGAAATGCTAAAAGCACTACGTCGAAAAACACAAGTCATGCAGCATCCACGACCTTGTTCCTTCTAGATACACCCCATGTGCCTATGGTGACAAAAACAACACAAATCAGTTCGAAAAATCCCTTATCAATAAGAAACTTGACTTGGAGAAGATCGGCAGTACCTACCGTATAGCCCAGCTAATCCTTCAGCAGTTTTCTTCGCGTCCACAATCCGTCCATTCATAGTTGAATGTTTCGGCGTCAGGTCATCGTTTGTGGATAATGTCGATGACAATGGCTGGGTTCGAGTCGGTTCTGTGATCGCTGAGCGGTCCATCTGAAAAGTTACGACAATGGTCCCTTCCAAGGATCAGCTCTTCCATATTTCCGCAACACCGATATCAACTCGACAACTGCAACTGACTTACTCCAGCAAAGAACAGGATAAAAGCAAGTTCTATAAGACTGCAAAAAACAGCATTCTTCATCTCAATAGTTTTAAGTCAATGTACTTAAACAAAAAGAGAATGTCCTTGGTGTAAGAACTGGGGCAGCCTTAGTACTATGGGCTACCTTTGTTTTTCAAGAACAGAGAAGTCAAAATACGTGGCCGTAATGCAAATTGCAAAATCAAAAAAAAAAGATATCAGTCTTTTACAAAAAGAAAAAAGGTAACCAATATAGTAAGTATGACTGGTCCCGTAGCGAACACGGAAAGGGGCGGGCATTTCATGAAGTGAGCGGCAGTACGTCGCTGATTTTGCAGCAATTCAGAGGTACTTTCTGGTTAGTTATTAGGTCTAAAGAGTTTTAATATGGATTCTATTAGTATATTAGTCGTAGTGATTGGTTAGTGGAGTCTTTCTCAAAATTTTGATCACAGCTGTACTTTTGTTATAATGTAGCTGCTTCTCTTCCTGATGCTTTGTCAAAGTAGAATGTTCACTTACCCAATCATCTGGTGTCGTCCATTCTCTTCAAATTGGCCAATTAAGACGATGTGGGATAGATTCTACGGGATGTACCGTCCCATATCAATGCTTGTTTCCATGCTGTGCACTAGCTTCCACATTGTAAACGTCTCATTCTTGATGGAGTAAATCTGTTACAAAGGTAGATGGTTTCGTAGTTTTGCAAGCGCTTACGACTTACTAAATAGTAGTGTTCCATTTGTACGGTTTTACCGGAAGCGTAGCCCTACGGAGTGCTTCTGGATAGGACGAGTTCCTCGGTTACTTTAGTGCATAGGCAATCGATCGATAACAACTATTTGTTAAGAAATATAACTCCTATAATGCTGAGACATTTGCAAAACTCCGGACCGCAGTTGTCTGCGGTGGGGAACGAACGCGCTATTGTCCTTTCAGGGGAGTAGCGCGTTCACCACCACACCATGCGGGTCCTTCGTTTCGCCTGTCTCTCAGCTAGTTCTTTTTTATTTTACTTAGTTATTTACTAAGAACTATTGAAGTTAAAGTAAAAGTTAAGCAAAAAGTTAAAGTAAAGTTGAAGTAGAGTTATGGCGCTTTTACTTTTTTCTACTTCTTGGTTGGTAATTGTTACAACTCACTTCCAAACGGTTTACTGTCTCATCGTGGCTGAGAGGTGTTCCATGGTGTCGGACTACGATGTACAGCAGGGAGATTCGTCCCCCTGACAAGGTTTCCCAGCTGAAAAAGAGTCCGGCTTTTCCATCAGGATGCTCAGCTAGGATTCCAGTACCAATACCATGATCCGTCACCACCCTGGTATTAAACTAATCTGGTGGCAAATCTCATTCTGATCCACAAGGACGGCGACTGCTTGTAATGGTGACGATCTGTGACAGACTTTGGCCTGGCTGACCTCGGGGTTGCATGGAACCACAATGGCTAAACCGGCAAACCTCCGAAAAAACGGAGCTTGTTCTGGGACACTCACAACAAGTAAGGATGGGTAATGCAAGTATCCAAGTACAACTGACCATTTCCTAAACTATATGATCGTGGTTTTCACTTTTATCGGTTTGCTGAACAAAATAGTTTGTTTCGTTCACTGTAACTCCAACTATAGTTTTAACTTCAGCCATTTCTCTTCTATTAAATGGATGGAGAGCTTCAACGACGTAATCGACAAAATATCAATCCTCCAGGTTTAGGTATTCGAAATATCCGCTCTGTCGTCGGTACAGTAGCTGTATGTTTATTCAGTACTTCCGTCATGAATTGGAATAGTTTATGTGTTAAGGTCTCTGTTCGATTTATGAACGTTACTGGTACGGATGTCGATATCATTTGGATAACGGAAGAGGTGTGTGTCGTTTTCTTGTTCAGCAATAGCAAGGTTTTTAAACAGCATGCATTTCCATAAAAGAACACAATACAATACAACGCTAGCTGACGTTTCGGCAGTATCGCCTTCTTCAGAGCCTGGAAGGGTAT